TATAGCCAGGGGCATAACTACAGATCACGGGGCCACATACCAAAAATGTGATTGGTTCACCTTGACCTCTCTGAGCTGTGAGTAATGATGCCAAGATCCCAAAGACTCCTCTTGTGCATCTGAAGTCGTCTCTACTTTGCAGACTTTACATGGTATTAGAGTTGTCAGCCGCCACCACTTCAACTCGCAGTCATACAGCACTGTGTTATCTCCACATGTTCTATGCTAAATTTGCCTCAACAACCTAATGGGGCCCCCTTCCACCCCCGGGCCCCATAGCACCCACCCAGCCTGCTATATGGCTATGGTTACGCCACTGTATATAGCCACCGTACTCTATTTTTAAGATAAATGTCCTGGTCATCTTTTACAAAAATAGCCATACAAATCCAAAATTGATATAGAGGCACTCACGGGTCGTACAGCGGAGATAGGTCAAAGCATCAGCATTTTATTATCAACATTTTCACGGAGCTCAGCCCATCCTTATCAAGATAAAGATATCAAGATCAAGATGGACTGAGCTCTGTCAAAATGTTGACAATAACATGTTGATGACTATATATACACATACATCTAAAACAAAAACTTAAAAAAGAAGCCTACAGATCGCCTTTAAAAATCGGTCACCTCTAGACTGGTGTCTTCTTCCATCGCCTTCTCATCTGCTCCATCCATCATGGTATCTTCCCGTGAGAAGCGTTCAGAAACCAAACCGGCCCGGGCTCTCTCTCTTCCTTTCTCTCACTGTGCAGCAGGTGCACCTGCAACATACAAAGCACTTAGACATAAAAAACCTCCATCTAATGGCAATATTGCGCACATTGTTCAGAAGACGTCATCGAGCAGAGGACAATGGCACATTCAAATTACTTTTATTGCTGTTTTGTTTCATAATACTGCCCTTGTTTACAGTGACTGTGTCACGCTCTGTTCTGCGCACACACAATCTGAGCCAGATACCCTGCGTAGAGTTTATTGTGTGTTGGCTGATTCCATAGTAGACTTTTCTTATGACTCCTTTGGTTTTAGCAGTACATATAAAAAGTAAGCAGCCTCCTCTCAATACAATATCCCGATGGTGGAATTTCACCGGTATTACCAAATTACACATTTTCTACAGAAAGCGCAAATACCGGGCACAATACAGATGGACTCAAACATATACAAGTTCCTTTTCAGCCCTTTCCCCTCCCCCAAAGGTATTACTCTGTTATATAAGTAGGGAATACTCTTGCCTTCATGAAAACCACACACATGTTGAAATGGGAACGCGAATTGGGGAAGATATTCTCTGAGCAACAATGGTTGAAAGACATTCAAATTTCTTATACAAGCACCCGCTGTGCCTCTCATTGGGAAGCGTTTTACAAAATGCTCCAAAGATGGTACCATATACCTTATAAATTGTCCAAATTCTCCGCCTCCCAATCACGAGTTGCTGGAGACTATACGGCGACATCGGATCTCTAGCCCATATTTTTTGGCATTGTAAATCGTTACGCTCCTTTTGGAACAAAGTATTCCAACTCATTTCCCAATTTACATCCACCCCTATCTCACCTTCTATTTCACTAGCATTGCTTCATATCGACCTGAACCTACTTCCCCCATGCTCTAGAGTTATCGTTTCCCATATTCTCTATGCAGCAAAGTCTTTAATCTCACGGCAATGGCTCTCCCCCTCTCCTCCTAACTTCTCAGAAGTGAGCCAAATGACCAATCTACAATGCTCATACAAATGTATGTACGCATACAAAAATCACACCTTCCATCAATTTTATAGACAATGGTGTAAATGGCTTACAAGCTCCTATTACTCACGGTGACCATACATATTCAATAGAATTTCGTGGTTTATTTTCTGTTTTTAGCTTGTTTGTATTGTTTTGTCTGATACAGGGGTATGGAGGACCAGAGCTACGAGACGAGGCTACTAAATTTAAACATGTTCACATTAGAGGTGAGGAGATTAAGGGGGGATATGATTTCCATGTACAAAATGTTTAATGGTGGTAGCAACATTAGCGATAAACTGTTTAAAATTAACTCCGTTACAAAAACTAGAGGCCATCACCTAAAATTGGTGGAAAAAAAATTCCAGCACAAGGGGCGGAGGGGGTTCTTCACAGTAAGATCAGTTAGGGTCTGGAACTCACTGTCACAGGCGGTGATTTCAGCAAATAATGTGGAATTGTTCAAGAAACTTTTGGACGATTTCTTAAGGGACCGTAATATACAGGGGTACGGGTACTCCTAGAATGAGATCCTAATAGGTTGGACTTGATGGACTAATGTCTTTATTCAACCTCAAATACTATGTAACTATGTAACAGGTGTCACTGAACTCATTGTGTCATCTATGCCGTGCCCTACTCTCTACATAGCATCTAGGACATGGACGCAAATGCATGACGATCCATATGTATGTACCAACTGAAAGTTCTGTATCTGTTCTCTATTCCATTATCAAGGCTGTTTTGTCTTCCTTATGTTGTTAACTACGGTACATAACAAAAAATTTCAATAAAATAAATATTGTTGAAGAAAAAAAAAAAGTAAGCGGCCAATGCTAGGCTTTCTCATAAAACCAAGTATGCATTACAGATACTGTATCAAGAAATCATCCTGTATTAATTATGTATTTGTCAAACACTCTGTTGGTACTTAATACATTGTTGATTATATGTTATGCTAAAAACAATAAGAGATCAGTTATACTCATTCAATGGACTGACGGAAAACTGTTATGAACTGTCTGTGAAGGTTCTCATTCATCCAGGTCATGATATATCTGTAAAAAATAAGTCAAGGCAACTGGACTTGCTGTATTTCTCTTGAAGACCTTTCAATGGTCATCCGACCAGCTTTCTCAATTCAGAAGGATTTGTACAAAAATGATCTGGGAATAAATATGGTGAAATATGGTGAATGTTGCTCCAATCCACATAATCTGTTAATTGCAACCAGCATAGGGTTTAGAGACCTCATTGAGGTAAGGTGTTGATTGCATTTGCAAAATTGGACAGTTAAAACTGTTATATATGTATAAGGAGATGTAATAATAAAGGAGAATTATTACAAAAAAACTAGTACTGACCCAATCTCTTGGGATGTGCTCTTTTTTTCTAAGGTTATGTTCCAAAATAAACATAGGTGTAGGATGCATGCAGTAGATATAGAGAAGGATAAGGTAAAACAAAATCACTTTTTTACAGTCCTCCCCTTTTGCCACAATTGGTCTCATCTGCAAATAGTTAATAGGGCTGACAGTAAACAGAAAAGCATCATTCTGAACGATTGCAAAGCTGCAAGAAAGTTATCATTCCATGCCCCCAGATCTATTGGGACAGTGATGCTGGCCTCCTAAGGTCCACTTTTACAGTTCTTCATGCCTTCTTCAACGCATACTGCAATTGGTCACTCATTACTAAAATGGGAATCTGGGTTAGAAACTGTCTATTGTTCAGGCACATTGGTGGAGTCCAAATGGGCCTACAAGACATTACACATCAGCAAGTTGAACAATCTGACCAGGTGCTATAAAACTGAAATTGCAAAACTTTTTTTAATAGAATCGAAAAGGGTTGGGACCTAGTTGGGTTTTCTACTGGCAGGAGTCACCCTCTCTATTTGTCCTGCAGAAAAGCCAACTCTCGTCTCTGTGCTCTTGGCTGATCTTTACAAGGCCCCTAATGCCTTTCATCTCAACAATCTGATGTACCATATCCGTGTGCAGGTTCTGCCTTGCTGGGCAGTCGGACAAGGAAGAAATCGTAGGATTAATTATCCTTCAGGCCCAGTTAATGATGACCATTGTCACTGGCACTGAAAGTGATGGGAAATCCAAAACTTTATGGCTTTCCCTTGAATAGGAATAAAAAGAAAATGTTGTAATAGAGGCAGCTCTCTAACAGGGGAATTCCCCTCACTCATTTCTTCTCACTTCCTGTTGTGTCTCTGGGACAGCGAGTAAGAGAAAAGCTCCTCAATGGGACACACATAACAAAAAACAAACAAATGTGGCAGATATTTTAGCCAAGAATAATTTTGGGTTAGATATAAAATCAGGTGGTATGATCCCATTATCCCTCATATTCAGTAAGGAATATTGGCCAATGTCCCACAAGACTCTCCTAATCTTTGTCTACAGCTAACCTAGGAATTGGGTCAATTCCAGTGGCACAATGCTTGAGGTTCCAGGCAATCAGAGATACAGTGGGCTATTGTGACAGCACACAAACAATGGCTTATTCACAGGTGATTCCTTTTAAAAAGCTCACAATGACAGCAAAGACGTAATAAAGAAGACACAGAGTCGTTTCCCAGGACCTGAGCGCTCACAGTACAACCACTGGATAATTCAGTAGCCAAACTCCAGTCTCTGTGTTGTTGGCTGACCTTTACAAGACAGCTAATGGCCTTTACATCTTAACAATCTGTTGTACCATATCTGTGTGCAGGTTCAGGCTCACTGGGCAGACGGACAAGGAAGAAATCGTAGGGTTAACTATCCTTCAGGCCCCGTAAATCCAACTCACCTAGAGAACCAGTAACGTGGACTTGGCAGTATATTCTCATGTAAACAAAGGTGCCCCTAGCATAGCCACCACAGGGTGGGTGGATTGGGTGCCGGTTGTCACGTTCACTTAATTGGGGGGGGAGTGTTGGCTTTGGATTGATGGAGTGCTGGTGGTGCATGCTCTGGCCCTCATCCTGGGAGTGCACCGCCCAGCTCTGGCCATCACTTGTTGATGTCACTAGTTCGAACAGCTGGCCAGATTGTCCCAGGTTGCTAGGAGCTGGGAGAGGAGATGTGTATGGCCTTCACACATTCTCCAGTGGTGTATTTTAGCTTGGGGCTGCCCTAGGCAAGACGAAACCCGGGCACCCCACACAATCTAAATTTTCCCCAACTCCTTCCTGTTTAAGACTTTTTGCGTAACCACCTGTCAGTCACTGGATACAACGCACACACTGTATCCAGCTTTTGACAGGTTGCGCTATTAGCGTAGCAGGGAAGCCGGGGTCTCTGGTGGGCTCTGCGAGGTCTCTGTTGGGCTGTGAAGGATATCTGGTGGGCTCTGCAGGATCTCAGGCTGCAAAGGCCACCTGAGACCATGCAGAACCCACCATAGTTCCCACACAGCCCACCTAAGACACTGCCCATCATATATCCTGTAGAGCCCACCTGAGAACCTACACAGCCCACCACAGATCCTGCACACCCAACCTGAGACCCTGCAGAGCCCACCATAGACCCAACAGAGCCCACCACAGATTCTGCACATCCAACCTGAGACCCTGCAGAGCCCACCATAGACCCCACAGAGCCTACCACAGATCCTGCACAGCCAACCTGAGACCCTGCAGAGCCCACCATAGACCATGCACAGCCCACCAAAGATCCTGCACAGCCCACCTGGGACTCTGGGCTGTGCAGAATCTATGCTGGGCTCTGCAGGGTCCCTTTCCCTGCACACGTGCGCTCCTCGTACCTGCGGAAATCTAGTTTGCTTGATTAGGCAGCTGAGCCTGCCTGATTCTGTGCAGCCAGGCTTGCCTAACTGTTTTGGGGGCGACATTTTTTGCCACCCCCTTAGAAAGTGCCGCCCAAGGCCGCAAATGCTCGTTTGCCTTGCGATAGATACGCCCCTGCACCTGGCTCTTAGCAACCTGGGATGCTCCGGCCAGAAAGGCGGCAGCAGGCACACTGCAAACATTATGCAGCAGAGTGGCCATACCCTCTGCCTAACGCCCCCCC